GGGCGGGGCGGGTCTCGCTGCTCCGAGGTCGGGTCGCCAGCGCGCGGGGCGGGCACCTCTGGTTTCCCGCGGCTATGGAGCGGCTGACCTTGCCTTCCGGCGGCGCCGCGGCCGTCGGCGAGTACCTGGAGTATCGGAGGTGAGGCTGCGGCTCGGCTGGGCCAGGAGAAGCCAGGCGGGCCGCGTCCCCCTTGCCGGAGGAGTGCGGGGGCTGGGGGGCGGGGGGCGCGGACAGGGGCCCGGCGCTCGCCCCCTGGGGCTCCCGGAATCTGTTCCCAGGCGGCTGGGGGAGGCTGGGGGAGGCTTACTTATCTTGATTTAAGTTTCGTCTTTTTGTAATTAAATATTGTAATGACGTGTAGTTCTAATAAGTCTCTTCCGAGGCTGTTTAAGAGGTCTCCCGCTTCGACCCCTTCCAAGACGGATTATTAACTCTTAAATTTATGTAGAGGTCCAACTGTTTTTTCTAAATGGCCATTGGAGAGTTACATCGTGAGTACTCGGGCCTTATAAGAAATAGCGGACGTCGTTTGCATGTTAGTTTAGTAGTAGGGTATGTCGTGAACTTCCAAACGTGCTCCCAACCCCGAGGTGCTGGTTTTAGGAGAAAGACAGACTGGGGTAGTTTCGGTGGTTCCGGAGAAACTCCTCTCACGGAAATGGAAACGTAGCTGCCCCTTTGGATTGAGGACGAGACTCGCTGCCCTGGGCCCTGACAAAGGCTGATGCACCTGCGGAAACGTGTTTTTTTTTTTTTTTTCCGGTCTCCCAAGAAAGGTTTTTGGCAGTTGGGAGATTGGGTAATAGGAATTCCTGAAGAGGTTGTAGCAGGAGGATGTGGGGTTGAGGGCGCCAGGGGTGGCGGGGTCCGGGAGGAGGTGGGGGGGCCGGTTTGGCGGGAGAGGATAATGTGTGTACATACACGGAAAGTAAGGTAAATCACTGCTGCTTGGGAAATCCCAGCGGCCTTGAAAACCTGAGCGAGAGGGGTTGCTCGGCTTAAAGGTGGTCGCCCCAAAACACCCAGGGTTGTTAGGGCAAACGGTTTTCCTTAGCTGACCGTCACTCCGATTGTCTCGGTGGTGTAGTTTTGGGGAGCACCTAGAAATGGTTGGTAATTCTGAGCCAGACAAGTAAGAATGAGGAGCTTCGTGGGTCAGGCCTCATCCCCGGGTCCGGTGGGTCCAGGTAAGGCCATGAGTCCCGTGCCCAGAACAGTTTCCACCCAGCGCTCACCAGGGCTGGGCCGGCTTCTTTAGGCTCCAGGTCTCCAGGGCTTTTCCCTGGGAGCAAGTTGCTGGGCCTTGGTGTTGATTGATAACTTAGATCTTTAGATGTTTAGATATGTGGATTGTGGGCCTCCAGCTATGGTCTCTTGCCTGGTCCAGAAATGTTAAGACTGGTGGAAAATTATTTTTGCAAATATAAATAACCTGGAATAGTTCACTATAAAAGTTAGAGCCTTGCTATTCAAAGTGTAGCAATCATGGACCAGCTGTGTAGGCAACACCTGGGAGCTTGTTAGAAATGCACACTCTCAGGCCCACTCCAGACCTATTAACCTAAATCTGCATTTGAACTAGATCCCTTGGGGATTTGTAACTACTGTAAAGTTTGAGCTGTGCTGGTTTAGCAGTCAAATATAAATGATCTCTATCTTTAAAGACCTGCATTGATCTTTTTTTTTTTTCCAGTACCTATTGATACGCTACATGGTAGCTATTATAATGTGAAATGATCCAAAACTTTTCTCAGAATAAAATGCCCCCCCCTTTTTTTTAACTATTGTGTATCTAAATTATTTAATTAAGGAAGAAGGTTGTGATGGTTTCATAGCTTCTGAATTGGTTTTATTTATCTATCTCAGCTAAAGGCTTGAAAGTATGGAAAAAGGTATGGATTGCACAAAAAATTAAGTAGCAGTCTACAAACAACATCTTTTCATGGCTTTTAAGGGGCGATATTTTCAAAGAGAAATTTCTTCAGTTTTGAACAGATTCTTTTACTTGTGCTTCCTTTTTCTCCAGGGATGCCAATTCTTAATTTCTCCAGAAATTAAGCAATATTGGTGGCTTAATTTTTCCCATAAAAGTTTGAAGTCAAAGTTTTGGAATTAAAGGATGATTACTCAATATAGATATGGGTTTGAGCTTGTGCAGATCCAAGGGTATTTGTGGGTTTAAACTCCTGGCCAGGGTTTCGGTTCGCATTACCCATGTCTTCTGCACTGATGTTTTTTGCACTGTTGTTTTTTGGGGGGAGTACTGTTTTTAAAGGAGGAAAATATTAGAATTTTTTAGCAGTTTAGATTCAAGCTTTTAATGAAAAGAATGAGCATGTTTGCTTCAGAATCAAAGGAGAAACTGAGATTGAATTTGTGGTAATTGTCCAGTGGTAAACCTGGATCAATAAAGTCAGATGTCATGAGTTCATTGACTTTTATTTAATTTAGAATCCTCTTTTACTTGGGAAAGAAAAGCTTTATTCCTATTGTGTGTAATTTTGCTATTAACATAAGCCTAAAGTAAAAAATCAAATCTGAAGAAACATTTCTTTTGACTATACAAGTATAGTTTAATTTTAGAGTGTAGTATTTTTGACCTGGAAAATAAATATTCAAAGCTTAAGAGAAGTTTTTGTTGTAGAATTGTCGGTGAGGACGATGGAGGGAAACTTTTTACTCCTGAAGAGTATGAAGAATACAAAAAAAAAGTATTACCTATGCGCTTACAGAACAGATTATTTGTGAGCTGGCGATCACCAACTGGAATGGATTGTAAGCTTGTGGGTCCAGAGACACTGTGTTTTTGTACACATAGGTAAGATATTGCTAAGTTTTCTGGTGATTAGAAAATATAAAACTGTATCAGAGTGTATCTTCCTTCTATAAATAACATTACTTGTGATAATTGTGAAATATTTAAAAGTAGACTTTTATATAATACCCTAGAAATTGTCTAAAGTGGTTTTATTTTTTTGCTATAATTAAAAATTTCTCTTCTATCCTATTACAACTCTTTATGGAGTCCATCACCCTAAGCATCTCTTCTTTTGCATTTGGTGCCTGCCCCTGCAGCTTTGCCAGGGGTCGACTTCTCCCATGGCTGGATAAGTTAGTAAAGGGTGGGTCACCAGAATGCAAAATTGCTTTAAGAGTTGCTTGAGTTGACCCACACTGAACAGGTTAACAGTCTACAAATAGAAGCATTTCTCCTTAAATTTACTAATCTCCCTTTGTACTTTAAGAAACGTGTTGTGTTGGGCACCGGGGTGGCTCAGTTGGTTAGGCGACTGCCTTCGGCTTGGGTCATGGTCCTGGAGTCCAGGGATCGGGTCCCGCATCGGGCTCCCTGCTCAGCGGGGAGTCTGCTTCTCCCTTTGACCTTCCCCCCTCTCATGTTCTATCTCATTCTCTCTCTCAAATAAATAAATAAAATCTTAAAAAAAAAAAAAAAGAAACATGTTGTGTTGATACCTTTCTTTAAACAAACAAAAATACAAGCACACAGCTTATTACAAATGGTCCTTTTCCAAGTAAGGCATGTGGAGGGAAGAAGATGCAGGAGGCTCCAGTCGCTGATGTGTATTGCCTGTACCTGAGGTTTGCATTTGGCTGCGTTTGTTGTGTTCTACTTTACATTTTACTGCTGTCACAGGTCACAGTTATAAAGCTCAAAAGGACAAAGCTGCTTCTTGGAAAAATCACTGAATCTATTACGTGTTTTCAGGTAACAACTTTTTAACTTTCTGTTCCAAACAAAGCATGCAAGGAGAACCGCCCTGTTCTCATAGTTTCTGGGGCTCTCTCATGAGAGTCTCTTTGTATGGTTGCTCTTTACATACAGACTTGCCATCTGCCAAAGGTTGTTAAGCAGTTGCTAGGATAAGTAATGTTGTATATAGATTGACTTGAAACTTATTTAGCAACCCCAACTAAAAACACTTGGGAGGAATGGAGGATGAGGGTTATGTTGAGATCTTTCAGAGCTCAAGAGGAGTTTGGTAAATTTGTGTTGGTTTTATCATTTATTCTTTTACAAATTTAGTGCCAGTCTCATATATGTATAATTATGTAGCATGGAATTAATTTTCAAAATGAACCCAACCCAACTTCCATGGAAAAGTTCTTCAGTACTGGTCACTCAGTGAGATCTCTGTCTAAACTATTATTTTTTCCCTATTATAAATATTATAATTATTATTAAGGTAAATGAAGAATATATAGAAAAATAGAAAACTCACCACCCAAAACTAGCTGCTATCAATACATTTTACTATATTCATGTATTTTTTCTTTACATAGTTCATTTGGTTGTAAATGATGTGTGCGTATAAATATTGAACAAGTTTTTAATGACGGAGTCACAGAAATATGTTTCCACATTGTTATGTGGTAATCACAAATAAGATTTTTTTTTAGAATTTTATTTATTTATTTATTTGAGAGAGAGAGAGAGACAGAGACAGAAATAGCGAGAGAGAGAGCACAAGCTGGGAGGAGAGGGAGAAGCAGGCTCCCAGCAGGGAGCCTGACAACGCACGGCTCATCCTAGGACCCTGGGATCATGACCTGAGCCAAAGGCAGACACTCAGCTGACTGAGCCACCCAGGCGCCCCCACAAATAAGATTTTTAATACCTGCTCAATATTCTAGCTAGGCCAGTGGTGTTCATTGTGTGTTCCCCAGAGCTGTGAGGGAGTCTCAGTGGTACCACACGGAAGGGCAGGTTCGAGGAAGGACAGACTCTAATTCTGGCTCTTTCCCTTGCTTCAACCAATTCTGCTTTTACTGTTTTATATATTATAGTTCTGTAAGAGATTTTATTTGCAGGAGGGATTTCACTGCTAGAAATTTTAAAAACTGTTGTTTATTGATTTACTGATTCATTCCCTTATTAATATGTTGTGTATGTGTGTGTATTGCTATTGTAAGTACTGTTGCTGATACTGTCTTTATGCACACAGCTCTTTTTATACACAGAATTATTTTCTTGAGGTATATATATATTTTTTTTAATT